ATAATATATATAACAAATAAAAATAGAAGTAGCATTTCTGTGTTGGCTGAAGTATTAGGTTAACTGTATATGCAATATTAAGAAAATATAAAAAGGAAAAAATATATATATTTATTTAAAAATATATTGTTTAATAAAATTGTTTACGAAAATCTTTTTGTCGAAGTTTTTTTTACGGTAAAAATAATTTATGAACAATTTTTTTCGCAAATTAATATAATTAGAATACTTAAGAGAAACATTTTAAAAAAAATAATTTTTTGTTTTATAAAAAAACTGTTTAAAAATTTTTTTTTTCAAATTGAATGCGGTTATATACGAAAATATTTAATAAAAATATTAGAAAATTTCATAATTAGCACACTGTGTAAAATATTTTCAAACACTTTTTCGCAAATAATTATTTTAAGTAAGTTATTCGCAAAGGGTATATTAAGTTTGCCGTCGAAAACGCTATAAAAAATATATATAAATGATTAGCATAACGAGCAGAGTCGATTTAGCCATGACTGTTTGTTCATCTGCCTGTCTGTCTGTATATGTATATGCGACTAGTCCTTAAATTTTAAGATAGCGATTTTCCTTTTCCACCTAGAAGCTGTTCATTTGTGAGCACTGCTAATATCTGATCACTATAGCATATAACTGCAATACAAGCTGAACGATCGGAATCAAGTGCGTTTCGGAAAACTTTTTCATTTGAGGAGATAACTTCACGCAATTTGACATGGATTATTGTCTAAACCAATAATACAATATTCGAAGAAATCCTTTTGATCGGATCACTATAGCATATAGCTGCTCCACAAACAAGTTTTTGCAAGCAATCTTTTGTGTTTGTGAAGGGTATTATAGCTGCGGTGCAACCGAAGTTAACATTGTTTCTTGTTTATCACAACTTTAGGTTTTCGCAAGCACATACCCAACCCAACTGAACCTAACCAAAATAAAATAAATTTAAACCACACAAAAATTTAAAATATTTATAAAATTCCTAAAAACCGTTTTCTTGGCTTTAAACTTTGCCTTTCTACAATTTCCACTAATTATTATGCCACTACTGTTTGAGCACGTAAATTTCTACATATAAATCTATATCTTTAAGCATTTAATGCAGCATTGCGAAATACAGCAACAAAGTGTACCTCAAATTGTAATTAAAACAAAAAAAAAAAAACAAGGAAATAATTTTAATAGAGCATATTTTACAGTTACAGCCACAACTATATTATAGTTTTATATAAAATATGTTTATATGTATGTAGTGTAGTAAAATCTAATACCCAGTTACTTTGCATATGGCACAACTAATAAAAGTTGCCAGTGTTTGTGCGCGCACGCGCGTGTGTGTTTATGTGTGTGTAACGCCCCGTTAAGAGTCTGTGAAACGATTAAATTATTTCTATTATTTATTATTTGTTATTAAAAACTATAATTACACTCGCATAGACGTTGCGGTGCGATCGTCAAATTGCGCCCCGCAGGCAAATCATGCGGCAGTCAGGCAAGCAGGAGTCGCAGTAATCGACGCCAAGCTACAAGAAATCGCTAACTGCATATTTTTGTGTACAACACAGCTGAACTGCTCTAGCCAGCGCTGTATTTTTTAAGCCGCACACACACATACATATATGTGTAGACACTGTCGTAATTTAGATGGTGTAGCGTTCAATATGGCTGACGCTTTCAATTATCTCAGGTGTAAAATATGCAAAATATCTTTAAGTAAGGGTGTACACATACACCCCTACATACATACATATGTGGCTTTTATTTCACGACTAATTTAACATATATGCATGCCATAAAATAAATGTCTTTGTAAATAAATTCTAAATAAACAATAAAATATTTAAATTTGCCGCATTGTGTCCTGCTGCGCCAGCAATGAGCTATTGAAAGTTTTCCATTCAACATGAATTATTTGCGTCGTTAAGGCGAAATGAGATTTATTTTTGAGATTGACGCGTTCAAAAACATAAATATAGGTGAAATATATGAAGCAAGAGCCTTAAAAATAAGCAGTTACGCGCAGCGTTTGTATGTTGATGTAATATAATAAATAATACATTAAAAATAATTAATAGAAAATTCAAAATAAATAATAAAAATTTTTTATATAAGTATCGGAGTTAGTAATTATAAACAAAAAATGTAAGTAAAAATTAAAATAAAGCGTGGAAAATAAAAAAAAAAAATCTTAAAAAAACTTTCAATATACAAATGTAAGTGTTGGGAGTTAGACATTATATAACAAATTTCAAAATAAAAAAAAATTTAATATAAAATAAATTTTACAAATTGCAATATATCTCAGTGTCGGGAGTTACAAATTATAAAAAAACAAAAATAAGTAAACATATATAAAAAAAAATAGTAAAATTAAGAATAAAAGTGGAAAATATAACATAATATAAAAAATTGTTATGTACATAAGTGTCGAGAGTTATAAGTTAGACATTTTTTTTTTATTTAGGTAACCAAAAAATTAAATTAAATAAATATTGGAAAATATAGAATAAATTTATTTTATTACAATTTTTATTGGTCGAAATACTGCTAGTTTCTAGTAGTTAGTGTAAAAAAACTTCTTCGACTTTAAAAGAAAATTTCAGATAATACCATTTTTTAAACTATATTACACTTTAACTTATAAGTATTTGAAAAAAAAACTATAATATTATTTTGATATATTGCTTTCATTAAAAAATTTGGAAATGTTTTAAATAAAAAAAATTCAATTAATTATTTTTTCAAAAGATAATAAAATAAATTTTTTTTGGTAAAATAAATATTCTTTTTGAATAAAATTCAAATAACAACAATATTCACGAATTTTATATTATATATAATACATATTTTTCTATCAAACAAATTACAAAAATTCAAATAATTTTAAAAAATATCCACTCATAATTAAATTATCACAAAACTTTTTTGTTTAAAAACAGTAAAAATCGATTTGAAACAATTATTTTTATTTAAAAAAAACTGCACTTTCTGTTTCATTCATATTCATATATTATGTATTTACATATGCATATGTATGTATAAAGCACATTTATAGATAAAATATTAAAAATATAACTAGTATTTATGCATTTTTTTTTACTCCAGGACCTCAGCATGTCAATAAATTTAAGTGATATCAAAGTTCTAAGGCTTAATTGGTACAAACATTACGAGTTTAATTTTGAAAAAAAAAACATAAATAAATAAAGAAAAATTGCTATATCTGCCTGTCTATATCTATGCAAGCTTTCAGGCGACAATTCGTAAAAAATAAATTATTTTGAAATATGTGTTTGTTTATCCAACTATATTTAGCACACGGCCAATTTGCTCAAATTAGTTGTCTAGCGCAGGAGAAAAAATAATAATTTTGAAGAAAACAGTATTTTCTGATTATTTATAAATAAACAATAAGCGCATACATACATACATATGTAAGCATATATATTTGTATTTTGTGCTATATTGTAGAAAGCGCGCAGTCTACATATACCTACATATGTATGTATGTATATAAGTGTAAATTTAAATATACATATATTTTTGTTTATGACTTGACACTTGCGGTTTATATATATTTCTCAAACACTTGTTCACAATTATTGTAAAATATTAAATAAATTGTGAGAAATTCAAATTTAGCAAACAAAGTAAAGTTTATAAGGATAATCAAAATATGCTTATTTAATTTGAAAAAAAATATATATAATAAAAGTAAAAATTAAAATGTGCGGAAATTGAAAAATAGCACAGATAGTTTTATGGCAGTTTAATTTGTATGCTCTTGTTTTCATTTAAATTTTATTTGTTAAATTATTGTACAGCGAAAATATTAAACATTTTTTTTTTACAAAAATATTGATTTTTGTAAAATTTTTTTTTCTAGAGTTTGCTTGAGAAAGTCTTCTCAAAACTATTAGCGAGTGAAAAAATTTATATTCTTATAGTAAAAAAATATTTTTTAAACTAAAAATTTTCAGTCTAAGTCTTAGTGTTCTGATATGTTAGATCTTGATTACCAAATTACAAATTCTACCGTTCATGCGAAAAACAACAACATTTCGACGGTAGTTTTTGAATCCATTCACTTTTATAAGCAGTTTGATTGCACAGGATAATTGCAAATAAGCAATCGAATTTTTGCCAACTTTCTCAAAAGAATTTGAAAAAATCAAGTTAATGTAAATGTTTCAACGCATGCCAAATTAACAATGTATTGATAATTTAATAATTATATATCAAGATTAAAAAAAAAAGAAATAAACATTATATAATATAATTTAATCATTCAGAATAATAAAACAATTATATATTTTAAATTATAATTTATAAAACATATGGTTTTGATTGTAGTTTGGGGCTTAAACATTTTTTTAATTTTATTTTTGTATATAAATTTCTTTTATAAATCTCAATTTTTTAATTTCTACTGTAGAAATTATTTAATTTATTTATATCTATTAAAATTTTTTGTTTTAGTATAAAAAAATTATTTTAATGTTAATAATTTTATTTTTGTAAATAAATCACGTTTATAAAACAAAATTTCTAATTTTTGTTTATTATTTAATTTAACTTATAATTTAAATTATTTTATAAATTTACATTATTGTTGTTAATTTTATTTTAGCATAAATATTTTTTTAATGTAAATTAAATTATTTTTCTTTTTAAGTAGCATTTAAAATTATAAAAAATTAAGCTTTTTAGAATGCTGCTTCAGCATTGTTGATAACTAATTTTTTATTTCTACGTGGCATTCCCAACACTCAACTGCATACACACTACATAAGTACGTACAAACACTACGGTATTTAGATTAAATGGGTGAAATAAAACTACATAATTTTAAGGCGTGTGAGTAAATGAAGGCGTTATTTAATTTATTTGCAACTACTTTTTCCAACTACAAATGCTGCTATTTACAATATATTCGTGATTATATATGCAGAAATATTTTCGGGACGCGACTTTCCACTTGCACTCACCTGGATATGAATGGCACTAATAGAAGAATTCAACGAACTTTACAGTTGTTGTTGTTGTTGTTGCGGTTTTTTGTGCTTATATTACCGCACACTTTACTTTCACAACAATTGCGGGACGTTTAAGGTATCAACTTTTTCTGCTTAGAAAAAATGTATTTGCAATTTTTTTTTGGTTTTTATTATTGTTGTTGTCAAACACTTGCGTTTGTTCTTTGCACTTTCGACTTTCAGCAAATCGAATTGTCACACTCAAATTAGACACGAACGGTAAATTTCACGAATTGTTGGCGCTACACTAGGCGGCAACGGTAGTTAGGATAACGGTATAGCAAGCCGGCAAAGTGTGTGACGTACATTTGACGTGAGTTATTTGAATTAAAGTCACAGGCTACAAATTTCCGTACTAGTTATACATGCTATGTGGTTGTTGTAGAATAATGTGTATGTCTGTGTGTGTGCGTTTGCTGCTGTTGCGCGCAATAAATCGATAACAAATTGGCGCGTACACGCGTTGACGAGGAGCAACCAGTGTAGAGTGAGCGAAAAAAACAAAAACAATAACTATATAAATAAATATGCAGAAAAGCGACCGGGCGGCTGATATCAGCGTATGCGTACAAATACGTCACTAAAAGTTGCTATCTAAAGGCACATAACATATATTAACGTGTGTGTTGGTATGTGCAAATGTTTTCATTTACTTCTATAATATATGTAAGTATATAGTTGTATGTGACAATTCATTCATGCATCCATTCAACACTGCTTTGCAGGTTTCGCAATGCGCGTATTGTTGTTGTTGTTGCTGTTGCTGCTGATAGCGCGGCGTTTACGCGTTGTGGGGGTGTAGGCGGTATTCGTATGACCGCTTGGGCAAACCAACAAACATATATACATACATACAGATATGCACTATATGCATGTAGTGTTTAGTTTATTATTGCACACATTTGTATAAAACATACATATGTACATATGTTTAGCATGTAAAGTTGTTCAAAACAACAATTGTTTGAATGACAGTCGGACCGCTTGCCAAGCAGCCAACTTTACACAGTTATTTAGACCAATAAAAATCCTTTCACTTTTAATCAAATCACCTTACACACTTGCATACGTATGTATGTATGTGAAAAGAAAAACTGTCGCTTTTTGCTTGTGGGGGCGGGGTAAGCACTTTCTTTTTCACGCTTCTCACCTGCTTTTTGCGTTAATTGTGGCGAATTCACTTTGCTCGACACGCTTTTAGCGCAGAGGAAATTCTGCTATGCTTTACACTTGTAACTTGTTCGTGAGTTTTGGCATCCACCAGCGAGCGAGTTGTTTAATAAATTTATTTATTTAATGTTGTTTTTGTGCACATTTGCTTGTTGTCGCAGAATTGCAATGGACGCGTAGCCACGCAAACAATTTCGGTTACCTTGCCACACTTAACGGTAGTTAAAAATGTCTGTCAAACTGCGATTTTTGCCGTCACAGATTTTTCGCACACGATTTTTTTTTTTAACTTTGCTTGTCTTTCTTGAAGCTTTTTTGTTGGGCAAATTTTTGCACACACAATTTTTTTTGTCAATACAAATATTGCTATTTAACTTATTTTTTATTAAACTTTTTATTGCTAATACATGTAGGTATGTATGCAGATTAACAGTTGCTGCCTACTTGCTTGGAGCAATTGGTGAACTAACCGACGCGCTTGTTCGAACACAACTGAAGCACGCGAAGAGCACACATTTGGTTTTTATGAATGAAAATTCAACTTGCAGCCGCTTCGGCAGCCACCAGCTAGCCAGCCAGCCACTAGCAATGCCGCTGTATAGCGCTGCACATACACACATACAGCCGCTTGTCTGTATCCGTTTAGCCGGCTTGCGTGCTCCCCAACCACAGCACAGCTAAATGTTTGCTTACGTAGTTACATATACCGACTAGTTAGGTTGGTTGGTTGTGCATGTGTGAGGGGCCGGTGCGCTCTGTACTGGCGTTGGGAGCGCCACGTTGAGAGTCGCACCGCCAGCATTTCCCCTGTGCGGTGAGCTGCTGCTTTTCGAACTTCGAAAAACACGCTACACACTGGCACACAGGTTAGTTGGTGTGTGTGTTTGTTTGTTGTTCTTGTACATTGAGCGGGGAACGGCGGCGCGTAGGTCCAATCGTAGTGTGGGTCACCTCCCTGTTTTGCAGCCATTTTCATGCAGACGGGGCTGGCGCAAGCGCACAACGGCCAATCAACAGTTTGTTTCTGCTTGTGTTAACAACAATAACAACAGCAGCAACTATAAATAAACAACAGCGTAAGCAAAGAGAGTGTAAAAATGCCAATACATACGTATATATAAATATATATATATATATGTAGATGCTTAGGCGAGTTTGGCAAAATTCGTTTACAGACATATGTACATACAGATATAAACATGTATGCACATATGTATATACATAAGTGTATATAATAAATATATATGTAAATATACGTTTATATTTACAAAAATTTCGTGCTTTAATAATTCGTTTTGGCTCTCCGTACATTTCGGCAGTTTTGGCTCTTCTGATTAGCGCGCTTTTTAGAACGCTCGCTAGCACAAATTTGTGGATTTGCAAAATTACTCTAAATATTAACCAATGTATATACGTACATATGGTAAATAGATAGGTACACATATACAATTGTATTAATTTTTTTTTTTACGCGGATCCATTGCTCACCAACGTAATTTTATTCCTGTTTACACTAAGCTCTCATACTATGTCTTATCTAATTTTCCCCAAATAGATTTGCACATACTAACACGCAAATATGCATGTATGTATGTATGTATATACAATTTGTTCTGTGCACTACAAATAAACTGGCGCAGCGACTCTTCTTTTGTTTATTCCTTTTGTTTAGTTTGTCTGTATATCTGTATGTTTGTATGTCAGCGGTGAGGTGTAGTTATTTGGCTTTTAGCCTTCACCGACGTCATCAATGGAAATGTATTCGCAAATTTCGTGAATATTTGTTTATTGTTTGCCGGCATTGTGCTTGAATCATTCTGACCGTTTTGGTGGGAAACGAAATCTAGAATGCCTTAAAAGGCAAAGCAAGAACTGGGTGCTTTGCTGTTGCAAATTTTCGTACAACATATTTTCGTATATTCAGCAAAACTTAAATACAGATGACTATGCATATCATACTATTAGCTCTGAAAATGTATGACCAAGTTTTGGGGATCTCTAAGGTCTTCGCAGCTATTTTGGTAGTGAATTTTAATTGATTTGCTGATTTGGTCTGAAATTTAGGTTTGCGAAGTGTTTAATAAAAGCATTTTGGATTAAAACTTAGATTTAAAATATTTAGTTTTAATTTTCAATTCAGTTCGTGGAAATAATTGTTTTTTGTTTTTTTAATCACGCATTTGGTATGCATTTCTTTTCAATTCGGTATTTGGATTTGAATTTTTGTTTGTTTAGATTTCAATGCCATATTTGGGGTTACGAAATAAAAAAATGTTATGTTTGGACAATTACCTCTAAATATGTTTTATACCCTGCTCTGTTTAACACCCAGAAGAAAACGTCGGAGACCCTGTAAATTATATATACATATGTTTAATTCCTCAGCGTGACAAGTTGAATTGATTTAGCCATATCCGTCTGTCTGTCTGCTTCTATATACTCGAACTAGTTCTCCAGTTTTTAAGATATCGATCTAAAGTTTTGCACAAGTCGTTTTTTCGCCAAGAAACTGCTCATTTGTGCCGAACCGCCGATATCGGACCACTATAGCATACAGCTGTCAAACAAACTGATCGATGAAAATCACGTTCTTGTATGGAAAAATAACTGACATAAAGCTTTGGAAAAGACAGTATCGCGCAGCTGCGCTGAGGGTAGTAACGGCATACCGTACAGTTTCAGGCGAAGCTGTATCAATAATAAGCGAAAACTTACTTATCATATAAGCATTTGAAAGTAAGAAAATTTTAAAACGATGAGAAACAAATGTCACCATCACGATAACTTGAAACAACGGAAAACTCATTGAGAACAGGGACGTCATGGTAGATGGATGGCTAGGCTAATCAAAAACATAAATGAGTGGTCCTTTAGGAAACATGGTGAGGAGGATTATTATACTACACAGATGTTATTCGGGCATGGATCTTTTAAGAAATAACCACATAAATAAAATGCTAAAAGGCGATGAGCCGTAACTTTACAACTCTTACTATTTCACGGCATAAAAAGTTTTTTGAAACTTTGTATACCTATGAATGTTCCTTTACCTGTAGTATTTGTCTGTAGACTTTGGCATTTTTTATAGCATAAAAACGTATAAAAAGATCTGTGACTTAATTTTGAACGGTCAATGATATGGTATGTATGTATATACTATATATGTATAGTAGTTCGATCTGAACAATATGTGCGAATATAGCGATGACAGAGATAATAATCTTTACCAAATTTCGTGAAGAAGGTATCTTCACATAAAAAAGTTTTCCATACAAGAACTTGAGTTTGATCGGTCAGTTTAGATGGAAACTATATGCTGTAGTCGTCCGATATCGGTGGTATATTATAGGGTCTACGTTATTTCCTTTTGGGTGTTACAGGATATAAATATTATTATGTTAGGTTGTTCAAAAAACAGATTTAAAATAAAAATTGTGAAAAAAGTTTAGAAAAGTTCTACTCGTTGCTTTACCGTTAAAAAAATTATAAACAATTCATATTGAATAAAAAACCCTTTAATCTAATATTTTAGCAAACCAACAATTGCTACAAAATTTCCTTAGCAAATAATCGTTAACTCGTTATGTAACTCTCTGCAGCCATTTTATTGACATAGCAGCCAGTTGTACAGCCATTACGTCATCAAAATCACTTGCACCTGAGTGTGTTGCTACCTTAACGCTACTAAATGCTTTCTCACCATACATATGGCTCGAAGAGAACTAACGCTATTTGCAGCACATATGCAGACCAATGCCTCACACGCAGATACATACACACAACCATATATATATAAATCTGCTGCTATCGGTCGTAGTCCCTCTAAATTTGTTTTCAATTTATTTTTAAACACGATCGAACGATGAAAAAAAGATTTAAAATTGCAAAGTGGGCAAGTTTATCTGCGGATGAGGCCACGGCAATCGTGCGGCGCTAAAAATAACTGTGAAGTGTGCGGAGTGCAGCTAAAATTAAAAATAATTTGTTTGAAAAATCTTCTCGAGCGATAATTGCACTATTTCGAGACTATTGAAAGCTGCTGCAGTCAAGATATCTTTACATAAGTATATATATGCATACATACATATCTACATATGCTCGAAAACACTTGCACTTGAACTTAGGAGCTACGTATGTATAAAAGTTTAGTTGCTTTTATTTACTAATAATAAAGATTCATGCAGGCACTTTGTTTGATTCGAAGGGGTGTGTGTGTGCTTTCAGCGTGCATATACCAAACACTTTGGCGCTGTGGCACGTACGAGTATGTATGTGTTACGGATATCTCAGAACATAATGACGTAACCACTTACGACGTCACTTATTACCTACACCAGGTGGGTGGTTGTTTTTCAGCATATCCCTGCTGACTGCGCCCGAGCTTTTCTCTATTAAAAACAACGACGCTCTGCTCTCCGCTCCGAAAGCACTCCCTGTCGCAACTTTGTTTATTTTATTAACGTAATAGTACTACGTAAGTACACTTTCACGCTGCACCACAAGTGATGACGTTGACTCAGTCTAGCGCTAACAATTAGTCGCGTACACGAGCCCATATATAATATGTATGTACCCATGCATGTACACGTATCCACATATGTATATGTGTGTATCGGCCCATTAAGGAAACCTTGCGAGCGCATTACGGCGACTCACCTTCACCTTCGCACTAAATTCTCATACACATTCTAGTTGAGCGTTCATTGCTCGTGTGCTGAGTAAAAAACTAAAAATAATATTTTTACATAAACAAAGCACAAAAAAAAAAAACAAAAAAAAAGTGTACTCTGCGCTAAATATTAGGCAAATGAGCGCACAATTGAATATTTGAATTTACCTTCGTGGCTAATGCGAAATTGTTTAGATGCACGCGCGCACACACACAGCTGCACCGACGGCCACCGTAAAATGTTGCAAATTATTTGTTTTTCATGCGTTTGCCGGCGATCGTAAACGGCTCAGCAGTTTAATATCAACCAACTAGCCAAGCAGGCGGGCAGATGACGGTTTTGCTGACTGCGCTGCACACACACATACACACATAAAAATATATAATTATACAAATATAATACATACGCGCACCGGTCGGCGATCGTTCGACGTCAGGGATTCCACAAATTTTTCGTGTGCGTTTATTCTTGACTATGTTTAATTAGTGCGCACTATCGAAATACTCGCAAATGCGGAAAAATTTGACGACGTGCGTCTGCCAATACGCCGTTATGTGATTTGTACATATGTATGCGCGAATTGAGCGCATAAATACTGTTTATCTTTCACAAACTGTGCCAAGTTGCTAATAACATATTACAAATGAGTTCATGCGTTCACTGTGGCCCATGATTTCATAGGTGTATAACATTTTGGGCATTTCATAGACACATATACGCATATACATATGTACATGCATACATATGTATGTACGTGTATATGCTATAAAGCAATAAGCTGGTCACACATTGTTTAAATAAAACGGTGATGGCTTGTGGCGCG